TGCCCTACTTCTGTGACGCCTGGGCTTGTTCACCATACACGTCAGGGGAGGTAGGAGTGTGATCTACTAAAGATTCATTGAAACTGATGACAACAACAAGAGAGTTGTTGAGACGTTTCATTCTTCCATTCCAGCTGGACCCTACACTCTTTGGAAGTCGGCTGTCCCTTGCTCTGGGTGCTCTTGGGATGCCAGGTGCCACCGCCCTGGTGGGTATCCGAGAGAGAGGTCATGTGACGCCAGGAGCCAATCAGACGTTTGTTGTGAGTGGAGCAGCAGGGGCTTGTGGGTCTCTGGCTGGACAGGTGAATTTTTTTCTGGCATATTGTTATAAAGAGAGGATATCAACAGCAAACATCATTAAATGATCGTTCTTTAGAAGTGCTATACATACACACAATTACATGCCGGATTTAATGAAGGCACAATATGTTCTGCCGATGTGCTATTTTAACCTGGTCTTAATCATCATACGCCTGATTTTCCTACTTTCACTACAGTGTATAGAACTCACCTCTGTATTTCAAAATAATTGCACCCTTGAGTAAGGAGACTCTTTCTACACAACCAAGTCTTTTATTCAGCCGACCGGTGTCCCAGTCAGAATTGCCTGAGGATGGTCACCGAAACGTCAGCTGATAAAAGACTTGGTTGTGTAGAGAAAGTCTCTTTTAATACTAAGTGACTTACCAACCTGATGAAACTATTCACGGAATTGCTCCCTTGTTTGACCAATTTTGCTACCCTTTCACTTTGTGTTTGTTTTATGTATCTCAAACAGATTGCAAGACTTGAGGGTGCCGCCAACATTGTTGGAATCTGTGGTTCTGAGGAGAAGTGTCGTCTGTTGATGGAGGAACTTGGCTTCGACCATGCTGTAAACTACAGGACAGACAATGTGGCGGACAGGCTGAAGGAAGCCTGCCCACGTGGGGTCGATTCCTATTTTGATAACGTCGGAGGAGAAATCAGTGAAACTGTTATAAAACAGGTGTGCATCTTTGGGATGTTCTCATACATGTAGTTTCCACACTTAGAACAGAACAGACAACTCTGGAGCTAGTTTTTTCACAAGAAAAGTCATAGAATGGAATGCATTACCAGCAACACATAGTTATATCACCATCAATGACACCTTACGTTGGGGTTGACCCAGTATATATCCATGTATAGGCCTTCCCAGCTCCCAATAGTTCCAAATGTAAATTGGGATCTAATAGTGTAGCCATGTACAAAATGTACACAAAAATCACTGCACATTTTTTGTTGTTGTTCAGATGAATGAAGGATCCCATGTGATCCTGTGCGGTCAGATCAGTGTGTACAACAAAGACGTTCCCTACCCTCCACCCCTCCCACAAGAGGTGACAGACATTCTCAAGGAGAGGAACATCACAAGGTGAGCCGTGTTCTTGTCTGGGAGATAAGAAGAGAAAAACAGAACATTGGCTGAATGTGCCATGTCTGTGCAAAACCTGTAATGCATTGTGCGTAGAACTTTGGCGGAACATCTCTTTTGAGGTCATATTCACAAATTTACGGATGACATACCATCTATAGTTTTGAAATTAGTTATCAGCAAAATCAAAATTTTAACTGAAACTGAAATGTTTTGCCCATTGCACCATGTTCTGTCACACAGAGAAAGGTTCCTGATAATGAACTATCTGGACAAGTTTGAAGAGTCTGGGATCCAGTTAGCAAAATGGATTCAAGAGGGGAAACTGAAGGTAAGTTCATTTGGTTAGAAATCACAAGTGCAAGTCTTACATGCAGATGTTGTCATCTTTGTGTAAGGAGATGGAGTGAAATATGCTGTATTTGGTAGAAAATGTCAGTCTCTCTAGTTGACACAATGTTGCCTTTGCAGGTGAAGGAGACTGTGGTGGAAGGGATTGAGAAAACTGGAGGTAAGGAAGAGCTACAAATGTAGGTCCAACTTGTGCTTGTATGTTTGAATTATCCTGCTTGCTTTTCCCAACCTCTTTATATAGCATTAATATGCTGGTTGAGGTTCTTATTGCACATGTGCAATGTGATGCATTGTAGATAATACATTTATGTCAAAGATCTAGACCCCTGGCAATACATGAAGAGTTGCATCAGAACATTGACCATCTAACCATTTTTTGGTCATCTTGCTTCTGCCTTGAGAGAAAGTTGATTTATCTCTGACTTTGATGAAAAGAGCCTTTCCCATTCCGAGAATGATGCATTTTTCTTGACTTCCACAGAGGCGTTTGTGTCCATGATGAAAGGAGGAAACGTCGGCAAGATGATTGTCCACGTGGCTGACCCTTGACCTCCAATAAGTCAGAAGGCCAGGAAAATTCCTAAAAAGTTTAAAGTGATTTTGTCTAAAATTTCAAAATGCATTTCTGTAAATACTAAAAGTATGTCGCTGCTATTAACTTAAGAACATCAAATGTTACTGTACAGTACAATACCCTATAGTCTGTTTTTGCTATGTTTCAACTGAATTGTTTATCTACAAACATGTTTCACTCACTCACTCATGTTTGACAGAATTAATTTCCTGACATAAATGTTTTAACATTGAGTGGAAGAAAAATCAAGCCATCATTATTGTTTTAGATGTTTATTGTCACAGAGAAAAAATGTACAATAAATCTTTATCATTAGAAGGCATCTGTACAGATTATGTTTCACACTTTATTTTAGTCCTCAATTATCTAGAGAATATTTTCAGTAATGAATTGTCATTTAATCCAGTATTTGCTAAAAACTCTTGAAGCTGTAGTTGCGTGCAGTGCTTTCTAGAAAATCCTTAGTTTTCATGTGGCACAACTCCCACTTCACTATAAGTTTGTACAGCTGGATTAAATGACAATTCAGTGGCAATAAATTTGCTTCCTGAGCATTTACAAATATCTGATATAGATAAGCATAAACAAGAAAACCAGCAGCCAGAAGTTTGTACAACAAACCTAAAACAAAACAAAACAAAGAGAAATCGCCCACATATGATCATCTGTTAGCACACAGATAATGAAATAATTCAAATAGACATATTTTACGAGAAATTTAAAATACTTCTTGAAGTCAAAGCCTCTTGAAATAATATTATAGTAAGGTCCTATCTAATGTACATTATGGTCCCTTGACTGTGTCTGATGGAACTGACAGAAGGCCGTGTTCATCAGCAGTGTCCAACAGGGAACAGATGATGGGAGACTCCACCTGGTGATGAACAACAGTAATGCAAACAGTCAAATCTTAGTAAAATTGCTTCAAACAGTGCATGCATGGTGTGATAAATTGTGGGTGATACATTGTATGTCAAAGTCGTAGGGTCTGAGGTATAACACCCCCATGAAACTCCTTCCTCTTCGCCCCCGCCGTTCTGCTTCGCCCCCGCCGTTCTGCTTCGCCCCCGCCGTTCTGCTTCGCCCCCGCCCCGTTCTGCTTCGCCCCCGCAAAAAATCTGCTTCGCCCCCGTCGTTCCTCTACGCCCCCGGCGCAATTCTGCTTTGCCCCCGTCCTTCTGCTTAGCCCCCAATGGCGGCACAGCTCACAGTCGACACGAAAATCGTCTGCAAAATAACAATAAAGGCTGTGCCGCCAAATTTAAAGTAGCCCATGCTCCGGCAAACATTCTGGACCACCTTTCTGCCAAGTGGCGTTGCACAAATCCTTCCCATTCAAAAGTTTACCCCTACCTCACGTCCCGTCAGTGGTTCTTACGTTTATAAGTACTGGTGGGAAATTTCACTCACGGCTGGACAGACGCTAGGCTGATCGCCATGGAAGGTGGGTACTAATTAAAGCCAACTTGGATAATGGCGGGATTTTGTATCAGCCAATTGAACAGTAACTAATCGTGTTTCTTTTGATACAAGTAGACAATAGTGAAAAAATGACAGCTATCAGTAATAGCGTTAAGTTAAAAATTGTGCTGCAAATACTAAGTAGAATTTATAAGGCAATACCTTGCTGTGTGAGACGAGACCCCTGACGGGCCGTGAGGTAGGGGTAAACTTTTGAATGGGAAGGATTTGTGCAACGCCACTTGGCAGAAAGGTGGTCCAGAATGTTTGCCGGAGCATGGGCTACTTTAAATTTGGCGGCACAGCCTTTATTGTTATTTTGCAGACGATTTTCGTGTCGACTGTGAGCTGTGCCGCCATTGGGGGCTAAGCAGAAGGACGGGGGCAAAGCAGAATTGCGCCGGGGGCGTAGAGGAACGACGGGGGCGAAGCAGATTTTTTGCAGGGGCGAAGCAGAACGGGGCGGGGGCCAAGCAGAACGGCGGGGGCGAAGAGGAAGGAGTTTCATGGGGGTGTATAACAAATCTGGACATGTACAATGTAACATGTATACAGCATGTTCAGACCTGTTTTATTATGTTTCAACATGCACTAGAATTATGAACTGTCTTATTTCAGTTGCTAGTAAGTATATTCTATTATCCTGTTGATGCTGACAACAGACTGCTGGATTTTGGAATATTTCAACTGCAATACTTAAATGTACAGGGTAACTTGTAAACTTAATGCATCAACCTTCAGTAGGAAGTGCATAAATAATACCCAAACTCACCCCAAGGATGTATTCACAAGTGTTGGGCTCAATCAGGTAGATGGTCACAGAGTGCTTGTCTGATATCTTACACCTGTCAAAAGTCAGGAAAAAAACAAAATGAGCTACAAATCTTACAGGTTACATGTGAAATGTATCCCAATTGTTACATTGCTGCTGTGTTCAGTAAGAGGAATAATATATTGTTTTCTTCTTTCTCCTGTAACTTAAGGAGTGCACGCCGATGTCATTCATATAATCAAGTCAGTGTGGTGACTGTGGCCTAAGGGTGAAACTTACTTCATTTTGACCAGTACCTCCCTGGGTTTTCCTGTCACGTCACACGTGTCACCATGGCCATAGTAGTGAGTCACCATCCTGAGGGACACAAAATTATGTTAGATTGTACAGGAGCTATCTTTTATAGACTGAGTTGATTATCTTTAGGGAACCAAATAGGACAACATATTGTTTTTGCTTCGGACAGATTTTGTTTTATTCGACATATCACCATTAGTGAGTACAATACATATATATATACATTTTTGTACTACTATTCTTCCTGGAGTCACAAAAGTTATACATAACATTGAAAACCTATTAACACATAACGTACACTTACAACAACACTAACTACCTATACTTAATGAGTAATATTATTGAAAGGAAAAAACTAAAACAGGAAAATAAAGATGGTCACCTTACACTAGTATATGAATGTGTGTAAGTAAGAGCAAACAGAACAGTAGTTTGTTAGGCTAGACCATCTGTCAGTATGTATTTCCTTTGCAAATGTTACTTTTCCAGTACCAGTATGTACCTTCAAGACCCAGTGGATTAAGAACCCAGAGCTGACCTGACTTTGCCGTCCTCCCTGTTCCTTCTGGGCGTGGCCTGGCCGGGGTTCTTCTTGGCCCAGTCCAGGTGTTCCTGGTTGTTCCAGGTGCCGATCCTGATGACTGTGTTCCCCAGCTTCTGGTCCTCATGCACCTGGTGGACATGCTTCCCATAACAGAACTCGTGTTTCCACCAACCTGTGCAGTAATTTACAACAAATTAAATTGGTGTAGCCAAATACTGCAGTAACAGTTCCATCATATCATCTGCCTCCTGTAAGATACCAATCGGTAATAATGTTTTTACAGTGATTCTGGATGTAATGTCTTTGCAATACCTTTGCGGTAACTTTAAAACATTTGTACCAACAGCGACTGTAAATTCACGGTGGTTTTATTTTTGCCATTTTTGTGATGAGCTGTCTGCTGTGAAGTCATGACACTGTGGATGTCTTCTTCGCATGACTACTGTTCTGCTACAGAATTGTTTTAACCTTGAAGAAGTGATCAAGTGCATGATCCTACCGCAAAATAAAACCATTTCAACAGTTTCATGATTTACAATATGCTATTAGTATATCCTCACAATGTTGGTTTGTATGTGTATGTGTGTAAAAAAGATAACATGAGAAGGCTAGATGAATTATTGGCCTTGAAGACACCTCGAGATGACTAGATTTGGGCCACCTAGCATCATGGTACCGTATTGGAGCTTTCCCTGTACAAACAATATTTTAACAAATGACTGAAAAGTAATTTGAGCATTGTCTGACCTGTTCCACCTTTGAGACAGTACTCCCCCCTCAGGAACTCCTCCAGCACCTGTTTGTCTGTGAGTGAGGTGATTTTGAAGCCCTGGGTGGCCTGCTCACTGGAGCTGGACTGTGTAGGGAGTTTACTGGGCAGCTTGGCCTTCAGAGGTCCTGAGTCTGCAGGTCCAGTTGGATCCTGTTTCTAGCGACAGAGAACAGCAAAGGCGTGTTTAATGTTTGTCCATTTTGCCCAGAACTAATAAGTCCCAATATGCATAATTCACTGTATACAAGTCTGCCATTCTCTCTATACCTCTATTTCTCTCAGTGGTCGAGTGCAAGTTGACATGTGACAATCCATGAACAGTATTGTACGTGTACACATATGGCAATATTTCAAAAGTATTCACTAGTAGAAGACATGACATGGCCTTGCCAAGGTCACACAGCAGACATTTCTTGGCTGTGTTTGGTTGCCAATGGCTAAAACAACAGAAGGATCATTTCACAATGCAAAAACAGTGTTGGACTAGCAAAAACAAACTTAACATTTCATCAGTACAACTACAAGACAGCATTATGCTTGATAAGCAAATCAAGGATGTTATCTTTGGCTTGTTTAGAGTGTAGGTACATGTATCTATCTGCCATTGGAATTAAATACAAGAAAGAGTAATTCCCAAAATTCATAGACAAAGTAACAACTATCATCTCAGTAGAAGCAAAGGCTTTATAACCAACCCAGATTCAGTGTCATCGCAAATTATCCAACAGAATTATCTAACACTTCTCTAACACATCATTCAACCTGCATACCAATACAGTATGTATGACAATGATATACATGTATGTATATTGACTGCATCATATCACTGATGAGATTTGTGACTATGCATGTATAAAGGGAAGAAAAACCAACACCACAACAACATAATTAATTTTACAAACATATCAGTAATATAGACTCAGGGTCAAACAAGTCATCTAGACTATAGTTTAAAGTAACTGTATCCATACAAGGTCAACAGCTGGCTTCCACAACAACATGTTTGTTAGTTGTTGTCTCTAGCTAGCAGCTGTTGGCCTTGACTATTATTCTGACTAATGTTACAACTAAACAACTCCAGCTGAACATCTGATACATTTATAGGACAGCTCAAAAATAGCAAGAGAGCTAGAAACAGGGCTCAAAGCAGGACCTTCCCATGAAGCTGAGAGGGTACATGTATTTCTGATCTGTACTTGTACCTAACCTGCACCAGCCCATGTACTGAGTAATAGCAGAAGGCATCCTTCCATCTCTCAAAAGATGATGGTATCACTCTAGGTCTGATGTAATGGCCATGTTCAGTGTCTAGTGTGTTTCATCAGCCCTATATACCGAGTAGTTGCATACATGTAAGTATGTGGATTTTTGTTTGCTATATTGATTGTTACCAGCTATAAAATGCCAAACAAAAAAATGGAACAGAATGAAAAAAGGTTCCATAGTGTGTCACATTTACAATGCCAAATACACCTTTTAGATACTGTCTTTGTAACAGGGAAAGAAAATTAATGGTGCATGTAAGGTTTGTATGGTGCAGGTAATTACATTGTGTGTATGTATTATGATTTATAAGTTTGAGTAGTACCTATACCAGTGCAATGGTATGCAGAAAAAAAGAATTTTGAGCCCTGTAGAGGAGAGACTAAGGACAGGAGAAGAACCAGACACCATCTTAAAACTGCTGCAACACCCTGAACATTTGTCCTGTAACTGAAGTACCTGTCCACGGAAAGGTTCAACTCTTTTGAATGCCATACTTCCAGCACCACTGCTCCTTTGTCTTGCCTGGGGAAATATGGATTTTTGTGTGAAACATGTGCAAGTGCCTGGAGTTAGGCTATGAAGGAAAGAGGACAAAACAGTCAGTGGTGAGACATGATTTAAGTAGTAACTCGATGATAACACAGAATATGAGAGAAAGTAGTCAACAACAGATTATAACGATAATGTGTGAGTTTTTTATGCACTGTGTGTATTGGTTACAACACAATAAAGAAGGAAAGAAAAAGAGGCCCACTTGATGTGACTGTGACCAGCACCTAGATTGTCCTTGTGTTACATGTAATATTTCAGTTAGCATCAAACTGTAGTACCAGGCTGAACAGCCAGGTGTCATTACTAAGTAGGTGTAAACAGACCTTTGTATTAACCAAATCCAACACCCATAACAGTCTACACAGACTACTACAACGGTACTACTACGACTACTAAGTATACCAAACAGGTAGATACTTTATTTTACAGCGCGCACACACCCCCAAAATTTGTGTTAGTTCCCAATTAACTTATTAAGATATTTCAGCTACTCCTGCACCCTCAAATGCTGATACATGTACTAGTGGCTGTACTTTGGATATTACTACATGAGACTTACCCTCTGTGTCTGAGTCTGTGCCTGTTGTGCCTCTCTCTCCACTTGCTGTAGGATTTTGGGTTTGATGGGGGCGTCGTGAATGGCATGGCAGTGGATGTCGTTCACAGGCGTGTCCTTTTGTCTGATCAACAGAAAAAAATACAGTGGCTAAGCAAATTAAAAAATGGGCATCAAGAAATTTGCTTTAACTATCACTCTGATTTGTCAGTTCTGATTTGTCAGTGTGCACAATAATACAATTATAGGCAGAAATGTAACAAATCTTGATCAAGAAAAAAGCATTTTACTGCTTCAGGGCAAGAATCAAATACAACCTTCCCTGATCAGTAAGCTTCACTCTCACGAATGGGTAGTTCTTGCAATACATGTATTGAGGTCAAATCATAAAGGGGTTCATCTTAACTTAGTAGAAATTCTGTGATATTCTAGATGACTTGATGGAAATGCAATGATAGAGTTTCCCCTTTTTTTGTCAAGAGAGAATGCTTCAAATTCTTTAATCTGCTCTGAGCTCCAGGATGCTGTCAAAAACCCTTAAAAAGGGCTTAAGTAATTTATATCAGTATTCAGTCCTTTACAAATCACTCATCACTAATGGACATAGTTAATGACCCACCTGTAGTGGGTGTACAGAAAGCGTGAAATGGGGCAAAATAGAAGGAAATGTGAAGCAAAAACAAACTAGATCGAGTACAAAATATATGGAAACAGAACAGAGTAAAAGACTTAAATACACAGAACTCTGTTGTAAATAGATGTTCTGAGTAAGGACTAGAAAAAAAGAACTAAGCAGTATATTTACCCAGATTGAGGCAAGCTAATTACATTTTGCAGCAATTTCATTGTGTCAACCCACCTGTAGTCAGGGTGTTGACAGAGAAGTGGGGTGAACACGATGATCTCGTAGGCACACGTCGTCACTTCCTCAACAGAGACTATTTCGTTTTTGGAGTCGGGGTGACACATGTACAGGAGGAGCGCCGTCCTGGGCACCCCTGACTTCAGGTCACACGGCGTACCATCTGCCATGTACTCTGGGAAGAATGGCATGTCTATGCCATCCAGCTTTCTGTAGGGTACCTGTCATGTATCAGTAGGAACAAAAATGCAGTTTTCTCAGTAATTTAAAAAGCGGATAAAAAACAAGGTGGTAAGGTGGTTTTGTGGTTAGGGTTCAAATCTCTGCCAGTCTCCAATGTTGTGTCCTTGGGAAAGGCACCTATTTCCTCACTTGACCGAGTATCTAGCTATAGCTTTGGGTAGGGATGTCCTCTCAGATGGGACATACATCAAGGACATTAAAGATCCCACCGCGCTTCTCAAAAAGTGTAGGGGTCCTAGTGGTCCAGTCTTATACAGCTTGTACTTACTGTACAAAACTGGTGTGTTATGCCTAAAGGCTAATTTACCAGTTAAAACAAAAAGAAATGCATATTCTACAGTGCTAATGATTGCTGTGACGGGTACCCACCATCTCTGTTTTTCCCTGTTTTCCTTCCTCAGGAGGCGGCTTCTGTGTATCTACAATAAAAAAAACAACCACACAGTTATCATCAGCAGTGTGCTATAGGTAAGAAAACAGTAAAGGATGGTGATGGAAAATATCAAGATTCGTAAGGCTCACAATATCAGACAGGAAAATATACACATTATAATTCCAAACGGTTTGTAACATACCTTCTGCACTTTGAAATCTTCCCAGATAATACTCTTGCAGTTTTATTTTCTGCAAATCCAATATTGCAAAAAAGAATATATTGTTATTCACGTAAAAGACACATATTTATCAAAAGACATCACTCAGAGATCTTAGTTATATCTTGGTTAAACCAAGAAATGAGCCATATGTTAAATTTGTTCTAGTAAATAAAATAATGATGTCTTCCCTGTTCTTACCTTTCCTGTTTCTTTTTCTTCATGATATTGTCTGATGTATTTCCCATGACACAGTTCATAAGTCCAGTAGGTCTCTATCTGTAAAGGAAGTGGTATACAGGTCAGGTACTTAGTAGTAATATACCCAATCAACAAATCATGAAGGAAGCACATGGGCACTTCAGCTACATGACATTGTATGCACTGCACTTAAACCACCTTGCCACAGCAGCTAACAGTAATACTCTTAGAAGCGTACAATTCAAAATTGTAATTATGATATTCAATTGTTTTCAACTGTTTAGAAATTGTACAATCCGTCATTCTGGCCCTACCCTATAGGTACAACAGCTGTAACTGTACAATCCATCATTATGACCCTACCCTATAGGTGCAGCTGACTTGCTTGTAGATGGGTTTCATCAACTCTGCTGCACTGGGACCAACGTAGTCCTCATCTGCATCCTGGAGTTTAAATAGATGGATGAAAACATAAACCAGAATATATATATATATAATATATAAGAGAACATATCATCTCTATCTGTGGATTCTTTATTCTCTTCAAACAGTTGGAGGTATTTTTTTTTTCAGAAAATTTGGAGGTACACTGACTCTGTATGTGTTTTTTACCCCTATAAATCGTCACTCACTGACTTGTTGAGGAATATGCTGCTAACCCCTGTTACCCCAATTCAGACAAACAGAATTGTGGAATAGTCATAGGGGCTATGACTTCCCTTAATGTTGCACGATGGCACTATACTATTGATTTGCAACCACACACTATTAGCTCTTAGCCTGGGTGCCAAACCCATAGCACACTGGACACATAATATCTCAATGAGCACTCAGATACTTTGTGTCCAGTGTGCTATGGGTTTGGCACCCAGGCTAATTAGCTCTTTGTCAAGGACTGTTTTTAAAAAGTAGTACATGTACTTAGTAAATGTATTATTTACCTCAGTCTCTGACAAAGGCACTGGGAGGGTACAGCGATACCTCTCATTGTCTGCTGTCGACACTTCAATGGTTTCTGCTATTCTGCTCCCTGATGGAGGAGACTGGTAACAAAGGGTACGATTATAGTTTCATCATGTAGAAACAAGTTACATTTAAATTTTTTAATGTCATATCTGGTTATATATATTATGCTCTAGCTTTACTTGTGGACTTCGTATTCATAATTGTCACTCACTAACAACTAGAACTTGGAAGCCCATCTTTGTTGGTTGAACATGTATTGAAAAATACTGGAGTGTCTGTTGTTTAATATTTTCTTTTGCATGTGATGTCAGGCCAAGGAGTTTGAAAATCTTTGAGTATATATTTTCATAATAATAATATAATTGTTAAACTGTGACCCTTATTAGAGACCCTTATCCCATACCATAATCGATCAACCAATGCCTTCAACAAAGGAGGTATATGTAGTAATAAGTAGTATCCTTGCTTCAACAAAGGTATGTATACAATGAATAATTGATCAACTTGATGTTGATATCACGTCGGTTTTACATAACAAAGGAGATGATAACAAAAGGCAGGTGTGGGCACCTAGTAGAGGATATGTCAAAGATCCACGCAATGATAAAACACACCAACGTGCAACTGCCACGTAATGCCAACAGCAACCCGGAAGCTGCCGTTTATAATTTATGTAACTCAATCATATCTAAAATATCATGTAGCATAAACTTTAAAGAAAATTTATGCATCAGTGACACATTCTGGCGAAATTTGAATAAAACAAATTTGCAAGGCAGTTCGCGATTTTAAAAAAAAGTTTGTTAAAACACTAAATTATACAGAAAAATCAACACAACAAAGCGAACAGGTGTTACATACCTCCAACTCAGGACCGGGCCAACTCAGATGAAACAGAACGCTGTCATCAAACTGGTTATACCCGCAGACAGACAGCACGAGAGCGCTCCAACCGAATATATACAGCATCCTCACGTTCCAAACCGTCCATATGTACATGGGAACGCGGAATAAGACCTTCCAGTCCATGGTAAAGTGATTAAATGTGAAATTGTAAACAGGAAAATCTGATGTTGGCGACCATCTTGCCACGTTTAACCTCCCATCATCCTCTGCGGGAAGGGGTCATGACGCATGTCTGTAAGGGGAAGCAAAATGGCAGCAAGACGTGGCGATTTTGTCATCACCGTCGGTGTTTTCACCGTCCTGCTGTCTTCTGTCGGAGTTGTGGCGACTCCCGAGCAGGGGAAATGGCTTCTGACCATCAAGGTATGGATAGAACTCGTGAATTTGCCACGTACGTGGGTTTTCGGTGGTGAAAATTAGGTATGATTATGACTACTCAATGACCAGTCTCAGGTACAGGTGTATACAAAAGGACATGATTATACCTGCAAAACCGGAATATTAATAAGGATCTCACACACACACGCACGTTAAGAAATAGTTCTTCTGGTACAAGATGTGATTTACTAAGAAGCCCTTAGTTCTTGGCATGTTCTGTATGGTTAAGTATTGAGACAATTATGGCACAAAATGAAGTAAAATTATTTATGAGAAACAAAATTTGACATCCAAATTATTTTCATGATTGTATATTAAGAATTATATTTTGTTTGCCATAGAGTCGGGGCTGTGACTCCTGAAAGGATATACACGAAACTATTCAGCCGACACATCAATTTAAAAAAAAATTACATTATGACAATTTTTCCTATCTTGATAAGTTGATACTATACTACAGCCACCTGTATAATACTCCTCCAATTTGCATTTTACAACTTTTTTCTCAACCCTAGAACTGCCATCAATATGTCCATTATGCTTTCCCTCACTCTCAAAATTGTCCTCCCCCAAATGCTAAATGGGCATTTGCTGTCAGGGGGCGTGGTCAGAGTCCCTGTCTGACCAAGGACATTTTACAAGAATGTCTTTGGTCTGACTCATCATCATCAGCATAACTAGAGTCTCCTAGAGACTTTCTGAAATACGTCCAGTCTGCGTTTGATATGTGTTTTGTCCATTGTTGTGAAAAAGTCTGAAGAATGTCTAAATGTCCATGTAGTCTACATTATCATATGAAGTTATGCAGAACAAAAGTCTTAAAGTCAACCTGTACAGCTCACAACTTCCAACAACTAGTAGCTGGTTCACTCTTAGAACTGTGCATGTACAATGTGATGTATCA